TTCTATGTCTTTACTAATGTTGCTCATGTCCTTACACATGCTGTTGAGCTTCCGCAACATCATGGCTCTAAATTCTAGTTCTGTTAACTTGCTTAACTGCACCTCATTTATTTCATCTTCTTTAGAGGTCTCTTGATCTTTCATTTGGCTTTTGTTTCTGTTTCTCACCATTTTCGTTATCACAGTGGGCTTTGGAGTCTGCCAAGTTTTCCCAGTGGGTGTTGGTTTTTTTGCTGTTTGTGGCTCCCTCTCCTGGGTTTGGATGCACCAGGGAGGACCCACTTTAATCCCGCCAAGTCCCCTGTTCTCCGGGAGTCTGTGTGGCTCCAGCGGAGAGTTTAGCAGGCTATAGCGTTAGGAGGGCCCATGCAGGGTGGCAAGGGAGGCGGTGGGAATAATTTCCCGCCGAGTTCCCTGGTCCCGCCCAGTTCCCTGGGGGCCGTGAGTCTGTGGGGCTTCAGCGGCTACAGAGTTTTCAGGGCCGTGCACGGCGGGGAGGGAGGCGGTAGAATTAACTTTCCACCGCGTTCCCCGGTCCCACCGAGTTCCCTGGGGTCTGCGAGTCTGTGCGGCTTCAGAGGCTACAGGGTTTCCAGGCCGTGCACGGCGGGGAGGGAGGCGGTAGAATTAACTTTCCACTGCGTTCCCTGGTCCCACCGAGTTGCCTGGGGTCTGAGAGTCTGTGTGGCTTCAGCGGCTGCAGAGTTTCCAGGACCGTGCACAGCGGGGAGGGAGGCCGTAGAATTAATTTTCCGCCGCGTTCCCCGGTCCCACCGAGTTCCCTGCGGTCTGCTAGTCTGTGCGGCTTCATCGGCTACAGGGTTTCCAGGCCGTGCATGGCGGGGAGGGAGGCGGTAAAATTAATTTTCCTCCGCGTTCCCCGGTCCCACCGAGTTCCCTGGGGTCTGCTAGTCTGTGCGGCTTCAGCAGCTACAGGGTTTCCAGGCCGTGCACGGCGGGGAGGGAGGCGGTAGAATTAATTTTCCTCCGCCTTTCCCGGTCCCGCCGAGTTCCCTGGGGGCCAGGAGTCTGTGCGGCTTCAGCGGAGAGCCTAGCCCAGCCGGCTACAGGGTTTCCAGGCCGTGCACAGCGGGGAGGGAGGCGGTAGAATTATCTCCCCGCCGCGTTCCCCGGTCCCGCCGAGTTCCCTGGGGGCCAGGAGTCTGTGCGGCTTCAGTGGCTACAGGGCCTTGCACGGCAGGAGGGGAGGCAGTAGAATTAACTTTTCGCCTAGTTCCCCGGTCCCTCCGAGTTCACTGGTCCCGCCCAGTTCCCTGGGGGCCAGGAGTCTGTGCGGCTTCAGCTGAGAGCCTAGCCTAGCCTAGCCGGCTACAGAGTTTCCAGGGCCGTGCACGGTGGGAAGAAACGGTGGGAGTTAACTTCCCCTCTAGTTCCCTGGCCCCTGCCCAGGCCGCTGCGGACCCTGGGCTCTTGGTCCCCTCTCCGGTTCTCGCAAGCCTACCAGTACTGAGTGGGTGTTTCTGGTTAAGTGGTCCTCCAAGGTGTCCTTCGGCTGCCCTTTTCCTGACGGTTTGCCTTTGTTTTCGTTGTAAATCCAGTTTGGTCTTGGGAGACGGTCTGGGTCCCTCCATTCACTTCCCCGCCATTTTCTGTTCTTCTACAAAGAATTGTTAACAGATGTAAAGAACAATTATACAACAACAAATTCGAAAATCTAAGTGAAATGGAGACATTTCTAGAGACACATAGTCTCCCAAAACTGAACCGGGAAGAGATAGAAAACTTGAATAGATCAGTAAAAACAAAAGAAATTGAAAATGTAATCAAGACTCTCCCAGCAAACAAAAGCCCAGGCCCAGATGGCTTCAGGGGGGAATTTTACCAAACATTCAAAGAAGAACTAATACCCATTTTTTTCAAACTATTTCAGAAAAAATTAAGAATCCAAACTTGTTTTATGAGGCCAGCATAATTCTAATTCCATAACCAGAAAAATACACTACAAACAAAGAAAACTAAGACTAATATCTCTGATGAACATAGATGCCATAATCCTGAACAAAATACTAGGAAATCGAATCCAGCAATTCATCACAAAAAACATTCAACATGACCAAGTGGGATTCATCCCAGGGATGCAAAGCTGGTACAATATTCGCAAATCAATAAATGTGATACACCACATAAACAAAATGAAAGGTAAAAATCATATGATCATATCAAAAGGTGCTGAAAAAGCATTCAACAAAATTTAGCACCCATTTCTGATAAAAACTCTCAGCATTCTGGGAACAGAGGGATCATATCTCGACATAATAAAGGCCATATATGAAAGACCTGCAGCCAACATCATACTCAATGGGCAAAAACTAAAAACATTTATCTTAAGAACAGGAACAAGACAGGGATGCCCACTTTTGCCACTCTTATTTAACATAGTACGTAAAGTCTTAGCCACAGCAATCAGACAGGAAGAAAAAATGGATCCAAATTGGAAACGAGGAAGTGAAACTGTCATTATTCACAGATGACATGATACTATACATAGAAAAGCTCAAAGAATCCATCAAAAATTTACTAGACTTAATAAATAAATTTGGCAATGTAGCAGGATACAAAATTAACATCAAGAAATCGATGGCATTCTTATACACCAATGATGAACTCACAGAAAGAGAAACTAAAAAAATTAAGATACCTAGGAATAAACTTAACCAAAGCAATAAAAGACCTATTCGCAGAAAACTATAGGTCATTGAAAAAAGAAATAAAGGAAGATATAAAAAAGTGGAAGCACATACCTTGTTCATGGATTGGAAGAATTAACATCATTAAAATGTCCGTATTACCCAAAGCAATCTATAGATTGAATGCAGACTCCATCAAAATACCAACGACGTACTTCAGAGAACTAGAAAAAATACTTCAGAAGTTCATATGGAACCAAAAAACATCTTGAATAGCCACAGCAATCTTGAAAAAGAAGAACAAAGTTGGAGGGATAACATTACCAGATTTCAGGTTATATACAAACCCACTGTAATCAAAACAGCCGGGTACTGGCACAAGAACAGTCATATAGACCAGTGGAACAGAACAGAGAACCCAGAAATGGACTCAAGGCAATATGCTCCATTAATATTTGACAAAGGTGGCAAGAACATACAGTGGAGTAAAGACAGCCTCTTTAATAAATGGTGTTGGGAAAATTGGACTGCTACATGCAAAAAAAAAAATGAAACTAGACCATCAGTTTACACCATACACAAGAATAAACTCAAAATGGATAAAAGACTTAAATGTGATTCATGAATCCATAAAAATTCTAGAAGAAAATGTAAGCAACTAAATTTCAGACATCATACGCAGCAGAATTGTCACTGATACATCCCCTAAGGCAACAGAAACAAAGGAGAAAATGAACACATGGGACTACATCAAACTCAAAAGCTTCTGCACAGCAAAAGAAACAATCATCAAAATGGAAAGGCAACCCACTGTATGGGAGAGCATCATTGCCAATGATATATCAGATAAGGGGTTAATTTCCAATATATCTAGAGTGCTCATACAACTCAACAAAAGTAAAACAAAGAACCCAATTAAAAAATGGGCAGAGGAACTAGACACCTCTCCAAATAGGACATACAAATGACTAAGAGACATATGAAGAAATGCTCAACATCACTAATCATCAGAGAAATGCAAATTAAAACAACAATGAGGTATCACCTCACACCTGTCAGAATGGCCGCCATCAACAAATCATCAAACAACAAGTGTTGGTGAGAGTGCAAAGAAAAGGAAACTCTAGTACACTGCTGATGGGAATGCAGACTGGTGCAGCCACTATGGAAAACAATATGGTGTTACCTCAAAAAATTAAAAATTGAACTTCCATTTGACCCAGTGATCCCACTTCTAGGAATATACCCTAAGAAGCCTGAAGCACCAATCAGAAAGAATATATGTACCTCCATTTTTGTAGCAGCACTATTTGCAAAATCTAAGATCTGGAAACAGCCCAAATGTCCATCAGTAGACGAATGGATAAAAAAACCTGTGGTACTTACACACAATGGAGTACTATGCAGCTGTAAGAAAGAAAGATCTCTTATCCTTTGAGACCACATGGAGGGTCCTGGCATGTATTATCCTAAGTGAAACAAGCCAAACAGAGAAAGACAAATATCATATGATCTAACTTATTTGTGGAATATAATGAACATAACAGTCTGAGGAATGGGGTAGTCCCAGAGACTTGGAAGTGGGGTACAGACTGACAATCCCCAGATGAGGGGGTGGTGGGGGAGAGATAAACCACAGAACTTATATGTGTGTATGCATGAACAGTGGACATGGACAACAAAGCTGGTGTCAGGGCAGGGAGGGAGAAGCTGGGGGAAATCAGTGGGGAGAAAAGGAGAAACATCTGCAACAATAATAAATAATGTAATCAATAAAAAATATATTAAAAAGAAAATTAATATACTATATTAATATTGTCATTTATTAGATATTTAAATTCATTTTGTGTCTATGTTAGTACACCAAAAGTTAGCACCTTTAACATTGTACAACAAAATGTTGACTTTGCTTAAGAGTTGTCTGAACAAAGATTTGAAAGTGCTTTTGATTTTGGCTGCAGGAAGAGTATTCTATTGAAGCATCCTTCTTATAAAGAACTTTCTTCCAAATTTATACATATATTGTGTCACTGAAAAATACTATTTACATTTGTGTTTTAGCAGATGTAGATGATCAGTATTGATGACAACCCCCATTTGTTTTCTTTATAATGCAGTACCACTCTTAATTCCAGTTCCCTAAGTTGTACTGCAGCTGCTTCAGGCAGAGCATGCTGAGGGGGTCTGGACTTGTACGTGATTCATTTTTTCTTCTCCTTAACTAGCATGCCCACTCTCTGCCCCAAATAGGACCTCCTTAATGTTCTAGTAGCAGCCAGGAAAATAGGCTCAACTGAACCCTCTTTAACTGAATGGATTTTTCATTGTGTTTTTTAAATGCCTACGCTTCAGAGGCTATCAACTGCTTAAATGCAGCCATCGACATTTACACAGACATGGTAAGACATTGCCTTGCTTGAGTGACTATGGGGTGGACTCCTTGAAATGGCTTAGAGTTTTATTCTTTTTTATTTTGTTTTTAAACTGATTGCAATTAAAATAGGTAAAACAGGAATGTGGCTGTGTTTTTTGTTTTTCCCTAGGGAAGGTTTACAATCGCAGCCAAACACCATATTACCATTGCTGAGATTTATGAGACTGAACTAGTAGACATCGAGAAGGTAAGCAATGGATTCATGTTCTCAAACTTGGTGTGAAGCAGATGGTTGACTCCAAGGACCCGAGTTCAGTGGAATAGAATGATCAATCATACATGGTTTCACATGGAAGTTTTAGGGGCCTGGTGACTAAGGAGTAGATAGACTGTTTTTCTGGTGTAAGTATCTGAGATAAAAGCTAGTTAAGATTTACTTGCTGTTTCTGCTTATGTAATTCACATCAGAATAATCTTCATCTCTTTTGCTGAGGCCTTTGTGGGCCTGCGAAGGCAGCTTAAGTGCTGTGGACATTTACACATCTTTATCTTCAGGCCTTGAACTTGGGGAAGAAGGTAGGTGAACACCAACTTGGCCACATATCTGCTTCACTCAAGTTTGGCTTTCTAAGCAGTGGTTTATACAGGTATACTTCGGAGATACTGTGGGTTGGTTCCAGACTACCACCATAAAGTGAAAATCATAACAAAGTGAGTCACACATATTTTGGTTTCCCAGTGCATATAAAAGCTATGTTTACAATGTACAGCACATACTAGTACAGCATTATTTGTTCAGTGTTGTTCCATTATAATGTTGATAGATACGGTAGGAACTTACTCTTGTGTTTATCAATTGCTTATGGTAAAATGGGTTATGTTATTTAGTCTCGCTTAAGGTGGTGGAACCTATCAACAGCATTAGTGAGGACTTACTGTAGTCTATTAAGTGTGCAAAAGCATTATGTCTATTAAAACAATGTATACCTACATTAATTAATAAAGAGACTTTACTGCCAGACAGTGCTGACCATCATTTGAGCCTTCAACTGGTGGAGATGTTTCTTTGATGCCAATGAAAATGCAATATCAGCAAAATGCAATAAAACGAGGTATGCCTCTAGTAGCAGAAGAAAAGAGAAAGGAGGAAACATTTATTGAGCATCTGTTGTTTTCCAAACTTTATTCTTGGTGGCATGCAATGAATTTTACTACATTTCAGCTTTATGGCTGTGGAAAAACTAGGACTCAAAATAGTTGCACTGCCTAGGATTACTCAGGTTGAAACAAGTGGAGCTTATGCAGAGCTGGCCCCAGCACTCTCCTATCTTCTGCTGTCTTCTCAGTTAGGGGATCTCTAGCAGGATTGGAGTGTACCTTGGTGAGAGAAAAACACATTTGCCAGACTTCAGAGGCTGCCTCAACTCAGACTGGAAACAAATATTTATGTAAAACTGTCTTCCTAAGTACTATGGAAGACAACAGTTTTGAATCAGAAAGAGAAATGATAGTGGAGGTCATCGCTTTCAGACTAATGAACACTAAGCATGCTGAAAGGTTCCAGTTGCATCCTATCTCAGTGGTCATGGCACTCCCTGTGCCTGCTGTGGCATTGGACAGCTGTCACTCTTACTCTGTTTTACTTCTTTCCTTGGCTGCTGGAACACATCTCCCACCTGGTTCTCTGGCCACCTCAATGAACGCCCCCTTCCTGACTCTTTAGCTGTTTCTTTTCTTCTCCTCACCCTGTAGTATGACGTGCCATGGAGTTGGGTCATTGTCTTTTCTCAGTCTTGCTCCCTTGGTATCTCTCTGTACTCACTCAGCATCGCAACTTTAAATATCTTGTTTCCCAGTAACTAGCAAATCTGTCTGCAGGTTAGACCTCTCTCTCTGAGCTTTAGATTTCTATGCCCCGATGTCTGCCAACCTTTCTACTGTAGTCTCGAGCCAAGCATATGTAAGAATGAAATTTTTTAATTAATTTATTTTTTATATCCTCACCTGAGGACATTTTTACATTTTTTTGTTCAGATAGAGTGGGAGGGAGAGAAAGGAAGAGAGAGAGAGAGAAACATTGACGTGAAAGGTACACTTCGAGTGGCTGCCACCAACACGACCCAACCAGGGCCAGGGACAAACTGCAACCGAGATACATGCCCTTAGTGGGAACTGAACCCGGGTCTCTCCGACTGCATGCTGATGCTCTAACTGCTGAGCCAAACCGGCCAGGGCTATATGAATGAATTTTGATCCTGCCCTCTCTCCCACCCTGATATTCCCCTCCAAACCACAGGCATACTTGCCTTTTCTCTTTCTCCACATCCAACCTGTGAGCAGTTTCTGTGGACACTGTCCGCAAAACTCCCAAGTCTCAATACTTCTCACTGTCTTTATTAAAGTAGACTCAGTCTTGGGGAGATGACCGTTTGTGTATCATCTTGCCAGCTGAGGCCACTGCATCAGCTCCTTGTCCACAGTGGTCAGAAGAGCATTCTAGAGGCAAAAGCCTGATGTGCTCTGTGCCATGTCTGCTGCCAGGGCTAAGTCTCGGGCAACTACTTCACCACATGGTGTTCCTTAGAATTGAGGGTAGAAAAATGATTTATGGTGTACTCTTGTTTCTTTCTTTTCAAAAAAATTGATGATTTGCCATGGCAGTTTCCGAAACCCTCATTACTCACTGCTCACAGTGTTCCTGCCATTTTGTGAGTTGGCCAGTAGGTGACATCTTTTTTCATTGATGTGTTCTCTTTTTAAAAAGTTTCTTTTTTTTTTTATCCTCACCCGAGGACATTTTTCCATTTTTTGTTCAGGTAGAGTGGGAGGGAGAGAGAGGAAGAGAGAGAGAGAGAAACATCAGTGTGAAAGGAACACATCGAGTGGCTGCCACCCGCACGACCGACCAGGGCCGGGGACAAACTGCAACCGAGGTACGTGCCCTTAGCGGGAACCGAACCCGGGTCTCTCTGGACCGCAGACCGACGCTCTAACCGCTGAGCCAAACCGGCCAGGGCATGTGTTCTCTTTTTAAAATGCAATTTAAGAATATTACTCAACACACACACAGGGTTAACTTGTGTTCACTCATGTTTGGCCTCCTGTGTTTAGAAACATCATTGCCTTCGCATCTCTGGTTGAACCTACCAGATTTTGGTTGGTGGTATGTGAACTTCAAGTTTGAAAAAATCAGTTACACCAAGGTACTTCACATCTCATTTCTAACAAATGAATTTCTTTCCTTTTAATACTAGCCTCTATATGTCCTCTGATTCATTCATAGATTTTAGCTAGAGAACAATGAAGTGTGAAGTTTCATATGAGTATATCACTTCTTGATTTCATGAAGTAAAACACTAAACCATATGATAAATGGGTCTTTTTTAAATAATCCAGGGGAATTGTGACTCATTTTTGTTTTAAGTCCCCAGAGAACATGATTTAATACTCTTGATTACAATGTAGTATTACATGTAATAGGTCAGGTTCCTGCTAGGTTCTGTCTGGGGTTATATGTTCTAAAAGGATGGATCTCATATTAAGGCTATTTCAGGCTATTTTACCTATAGAGTGAACCCCTAAGCATGAATCTTGGAAATTGCATTTGCTTTAATGATGATGGATGCAGTCCTAGAGAGTCTTGTCTTTTATTTCACGATCTATGTATTCGCCAGCATTGTACCTCTTTACCAACTCTCCCAAGGAGTATTATGATCCCTTTGGCTTGCTACTTAAATAATAGGATAATCAGCTGGGTTTTTCTAGATTTATTGTTATGTGTGCTATTGTTATTAGTTGCCGTGTTCTACTTTTTATATTATTATCTTTGGGACTATAAGATACGGTCGGCTGATTTCTAGTATGTAAGGGTCTGTTTCTGCCTGTTATGTTTCACTACGTGTTAAAATTCCAAACTAGGTGGAACATCGAAGATAACCTGTGGCCAATCTCTTTTCTCTGAAACTTCTCTAAGCCACTAGATAAGCTTTCCTTTCAACTTTAGTCTCTTTCAAATGTTTGGAAGACCATGATTTTTGATTATTGGTTTAATTAGCATTATTAAAAACTAAATTTAATTTTTTTCTTTTACTATGATAAACCTAGCTATAGTTTACAGGTATAACATGTTGATGAACCAGTATCATTATTTAGTAAATATTAGGTTAAACCAAGGTGTTGACATTGAGCCTTTTTTGTTTTTTAAACCTCCAAAACAGCAGTTACATATGGTTTAACCCAACTCTATTCATTGACTTCTGGTGCTGTTAGAACTGGGAAGTAGCTACATTTCCTCTTTAGGAAGAGGTTATATAACTGATACTCTTTACAAAAAGATTTGGTAATGTTTCTCATGTTACCCTATTCCCCTATTCTGGTACAAACTGGTGCTAAATACTTGAGAGAATGAGGACAGTTCAAAGAAGATTATTTTTGATTAATCATATATCCAGTGAAAAACTTTCCTGGGCATTCCAAATTAATCAAGATATTGGTAATAGTTTAATAAGGGACTTCATTTGAAATTCATTTTGCATTTATTCACTTAGTATCTGTTTATTGAGCACTTACTGTATGATAGGCATTATGCTAGGCTTAGGGACATAATGGTGAGCAAAACCATCATGAGACCTGCCTTCACAGAGCTTATATTTTAGTGGGAGAAAATACACATTCGTCATATAATCCCATGCGTGTACATATGTATGTATGTAATAGCTCTGACATGTGCTCTAAAGGAATATATTCTACCAGACGTTTTCTGGATGTGTCTATATACAGGTATTTGTGAAGAGAGGACTATAGTGTATCTGTTCTTTTATGGCTTTAATATTTCTTGAAGAATTTTCCATGTTGAATTTTTTTTAAAACTTATCTTTATTAGTGAATGTATTGTAGATATCACTCTTTGTACCCCTTGACCACCTCCTTCCCAATCCTGCCCACCTCCTGCTTTCTGCACACTATTGTCAATGTCTATTGGTTATGCATATATGTATATAAGTTCTTTGGTTTCTCTCTTCCCCCTGCACTTCCCCCCTTCCCTTTGAGGTTCATCAGTCGAACAACCAATTTATACTTCTTAATTCCTTCATCTTTTTCTCCCAACTCCCCTCCCATCTGGCAAGCAACAAAAAGTTCTCTGTATCTATGAGTATTTTTCTGTTCTGCTTGCTCATTTTGTTTGTAGATTCATTGTTGACAGATATGTATTTATTACCATTTTTATCTTCTTCAGGAAGACCCATC